ACGCTGAGAACTTCGTGTCGACAGTGGCGGGGGTTTTTGTTTATGATGCCGGCTGCCTAAATTGGCTCAGTTACGAAGCACACGATAAATAAATATGAACGAATGAGACATTGTACCCCACAAAAAAAGGGTAAACAACTGTATATGTTATATTACAAAATAAATATCTTTAATATCATTTCAGACAGAAAACAGTTTTAAATTTATTCGTCAAAATGAAATTTGAATTGGTAATGTGGATTACTGACATAATTTTTTATTAAACTCTTGATTCTCAAAAATTTTAACAATATCTGTTCAGTATTAGAATTTTAAGAGGGTTCAATTTTGGAACTACATTATTCTATATAATCCACATACTGGGCCAATTATAGGCATAAGTTGAAAAAATTCTTTCCCATATGTTTTTCCTTCACGTAATAATACACACACAGCAGCAAATCGTGATACATCCATCTTACATATTCCTCTACTCCAATATTTCTTGAAGAGTGACCCAATGGGGTTATTAAATCTATTTTGGCAGCGGCCGTCCCTCAAGTACATTATGACTAACCCACGCAATATTGGTCGTGTCATCGTTCTCGCTATATAAATAAAGGAATGCCCTCTGTATATATCACCATCACAGAAAGGAAGGAAGGAAGCAGGACCATCATTTTTCATCTAGATATGACAAATATATGTTTGTGCGCTGGAAGTTATTACACCAGGCCCAGTTTTTGTGTTTATTAACTTGACGTAATTGATTATTTTAGGAATACCGTCCTTAATAAATGAGAATAATGTAATAAAAGGACAACATAATTTATGTTTATGTAATGTAATTTAAATATTAAGTACCGGTTTTGATTTTATAGAAATAATAAAATAAAAATAGTAGGTACCTCATAGTTTCGAACTAATAAAGTATCGATTTTAGAAAAATATATCATCATATTCCAATTTAATTTGAAATAATATTGATAAAAATTATTGCCCGTTTATGGACTTATACATACAGGGTGTTTCAGTTCGAGTGAATTAAACTTTAACCACAAATAGAACTCAATAAATAATTCAGAATTGCCTTATAAGGGTCTAAGTCTCACAGTTTTCACTGTACAGGACCATATTGGTCGGTTTTTAAAATCATATTATTTATGAAATCTTTGCTAGGTTTATAACTAACTCATTCAAATTTGGTGTGGTGTTAACATCTGCGTAATTTACTGTAAAATTTTCAAATTTTTGTAGGCCAGTGGCGTAGGAATGGGTAGTAAAGCGGGATTTTTTAGCCCAACTTCTACGCCAATGACCTAATAATCATTTGGAATTCATTTTTAGATTCTGTGGACAATTCTAGATAAAAAAGGTATAATTGTTGAAAATTGGTATAGGGTATCGTTTTACCGAAATACGATTGCAATCAATAATACGCAAAGTATTATATTTAAAATTTACTAGTCGTTTTGCCGATGTAGATAACATTATTTAATATTATTTTGAATTCTAAGGTAATAAGTAACATTATGACAATATTAATTTAAAATTTATTTTCTATCCTTAAGAAACTAAATTTCTTATCAGAAGAACGGTCTCCCTTTGAACTCAGATTTTCGGTAAAACGATACACTATACCGATTTTAAACAAGTATATCTCTTTTATGTAGAATTGTCTATGGAATCTAAAAATGAATCACAAATGATTATTAGGTCATTAAAGGTAAAAAAATCCCGCTTTACTACCCATTCCTACGCCACTGACCTACAAAAAATTGTAAATTTTACAGTAAATTATGCACATGTGTAATGTTAACACCACACCAAATTTGAATCAGTTCGTTATAAGCATAGCAAAGATTTCATAAATAATATGATTTTAATAACCGACCAATGTGGTTCTGTACAATGAAAACAGTGAGACTTAGACCCTTGCTTTATAAGCCAATTCTGAATTATTTATTGAGTTCTATTTGTGGTTAAAGTTTGATTCACTTGAACTGAAACAACCTGTATATAATATTTCCACTAGGTAACTATTTTTATATTTATTAAAATATTTTCCCGATTTCTCTAAAATTAACACGAGGTAAAAAGAAAACTTAACTGTTTCTTCACAATTATCATTAATATTTCATTACTCTATCCTTGCATCTCCTTTAACTTTTCCCTTACTCATTTTCCTGATTTCCAGATATAAAGTAGATCATACATTTTCCAAATAAAAATTATCTTTAAAAAGTTATCTGCAATAACAAAATAAGAAGATTTTTCATGTTGGATTGGGAATACCAATTATATATTATGTTAATATATTGTCCTTTTCATATATCTGGTATCGCTTATACTTATTCCGAATGGTCATGTTCCATTTTTGAGAGCGTAAACTAGATTTAATTCTAAAATTAGGGGACGCAAAAGTGGTAGGTCGAGTTTTAGTGCAAACAAACATATAATAGCAAACAAATATACCTATTCAAATTTGTAAACCAAATTTTACGATGTTTAATTAATGTTATTTTCAAAATGTTTTCTTCCTTGCATAGAAGTTTGTGCTCTTATTTTATTTTCGTTTTCTCTTGCTTTTTAGCCCAGTCGGTGGAAGTAATTTTGCACCAAAGGCACAAGTAATTAGTAATATGGCTGATTTTTTTTTATATAAGTTCTTTAAAGTATGCAGATTAATATAAGAAAAAGTTCACTGGTCCAAAAATATTTTGAAAAATATTTTGATTGTCGAAATTCTTTAATATTTTGGACTGGGATGAAGATACTGAAAAATAATCACTGGTCCAAAAATATTTTGAAAAATAATTTGATTTTCGAAATTCTTTAATATTTTGGACTGGGATGAAGATACTGAAAAATAAAAAATATTGTCTTGTCGAAGAAGTTTTTTCCAACGAAAAAGATACTTTGCATTTTTTTTCGTCTCAGCTATGGTTTGTCTGAAAAAAATTATTAAAGCCATGAAATCACCTTCCGCAAGCAAACAAGCGAATAAATTTACTCTTCAAACATAAGAATTGTCAAACTTCATTTAAATATGTAGAAATGAATATTCGATCTTAATTCAATGCAAAAAAATAAAAAATAAAAGAAAAAATTAAAATTTTTTTAAGAATTTTCAGTTTTCGAAAAAAAATTTCGAAAATTTTTTTTTTTAGATCTTCGAATATACTCAGGGTAGAAAATAGTAAATACAAGGTAATATTTACATTTTTTTATTACAAAATCATAGGGAAAATATTAAATACTTACAAAATATGCATAAAATCATCGTTTTCACGTATACTGTATTTCCTACCTGGATACTTTCATAGTTGTTGACTATTTCCATTCTACTCTTCGATTATTCGTCTTCATACTGTAACAATACCAAATATTATATTACCTAAACGATCAAAGGAGATTTACACCGGGAGCCAGAAATATTGCTATTTTCATATACTTAAAATTCAAAAAATTATTAAATGTGGAAAAATGTTTGTAACCAAATGAATTTGTGCTTAGAGATTCTTAATCTGTGTAATTTTGAAAAATGTCTCAATCAAATTAGTTAAGTTTTAATAAAGTTCCAGAGGCCGTAAACTCAAGATTCCTAAATTTTAAAAATAACTACAAGGGTCGTATTTCGTAACTAGATAAAATCCATTACCCGGAAATTTTATTTGTGAAAAAGGTCACCTAAATAATAATTCCCGACGCGAAAAAATTTTTTTCGAACCCTCCTTATGTTTAAGTATATATTTGTCAATGAGGCGCTCGGTTTTCGATTAGTTTATGTATTAGTGATGTAACGAATATCCGCATTCGCATTCGCGAATATTCGTTTGATTTATGATATTCGCATTCGCAAATATCTTTGAATATTTTGCGAATATGAACGTGAAAGAAACATATAGAATGTGAAAAAAATATTAGGTTCGTTCAGCATCGCAAATCGTAAAATAAGTCCATATTTCACTAGAAGTTGATTTACTCATGTTAAGAAATAACTAACAACAGTCTAACCTCACAATTCACAAACTCATCTGAGCCAGTAGCGAAAACAAAACAAAATTCCAATCATACAAAAATACCGTTCTACCAACTTAACAACGCTAATTTCTTTAGCCTCTAGCGCCGCTGTCACCGAAAATATTATGTGCGTCGCGCGCGGCATATTTTGAATCACTGATAAACAGCGCTAGATTTAAAAACTGAATATTCGTATTCGCATTCGCATTCGCGAATGACAACAACAGATGTTCGCATTCGCATTCGCGAATGCTTAAAATCTGGCATTCGTTACATCACTAATATGTATATAATATTATATGCTTAATTTTTTATTCCATCTTTTATTTTTAAAAAAAATTAACATACCATTGGAAAGTTTGACTTCCTTCTTGAAAATGGGCTTCACAATTATTAACTTAATACCCTATAACTATGCAATAGTGTATAATGTAGAGCGAATGGATACCTGGTTTATTGAATTTTTTCCGGCCAAACCATAGGTCGGACGAAAAAAGTATAAAGTGTCTTTTTTGTTGGAAAAAACTTCCCCTATAAGGTGGTGTTTTTTAGTTTTCTCCATCTTCATCCTAGTCCGAAATATTAAAGAATTTCCAAAAAAAAATGTTTTTCAAAATTTCTTTTGGACTAGGAAGTTGATAGACCAGTGAAATTTTTCTTATATTAATCTCCATACTTTGAAGTACTTAGAAAAAAAATCAGCTCTATTGCTAGTAACTTGTTTTTGTGGCCTCCGCCGACTGGGCTAATTTGGCTAGCCTGATGAATATGCTCCAAAAATCGGTCTCTAGTGCTTGAAACTTGATAGTGACTAAATTTTTCATATTTAAATTAATTTAAAGATCAACCTCCCATTTTTATGTTTTTTAATTTTAGAATTGTTTTCTTTACGCTAACAAAATTTGAACATGAAGATACGGAACACCTTACACCGCAGTTAGTTATTTTGTGATTAAATTCTTTCGTGGGCGCTAATATTATTATTTTGTCAATTTCAGGTGTGGTTTAGTAACAGAAGGGCGAAGTGGAGGCGAGAAGAGAAGCTTAGAAACCAGCGGCGATCCGTGGATCAAGTCGGCGCTATCAGCCCTCCTTCCTCTGCGGGTCGCCTTCCTATTAATTCTGGATTTAACTCCATGTACTCCTCAATCCCGCAGCCCATCGCTACTATGGCGGATACTTACAGGTAAATAATTCTCGTTGTAGATATTTTGTGCGATATTCACAATGACACACATATTCAAACTTTAAAAATTCAAATTATTATTTGGTGAAATGAGATTCTGATTTTATACAGGGCGATTCAGAACTTATCAAAAAAAAAATTGGATGTACAGGGGACTCTTACAAATACAATTTTGTAAAGAAAAAAATCAAAAGGGCACTTCGAAAATGATTTAAAAATAAACTTCTGCACGGCACTGGAAAATGGTCCACTGTAAAACCTGAACTCGCACAATGCGACCGGCATGGCGGCAATGTGTGATAAAAACGGACAAAACTTGAAAGAATTTCGCAAGGAAAGAAATAAATACAATTTTATAGCACCTATTTTATATCAGCAATTCAACTGTTCTTGCCGCTATTATTATTATTATTAATTAATAAAATTAATTTGTGGTTTTAAATAATAAAATAATTTGACATACCTGATGTTACGACAACGTCAACAACTGTTCAAAATTTTGTCCACAGACGTGTAAACACATTTGAGCCCATCTTATTCAGTTTCTACGAACTAACACAAATGTTGTCTTGCTTCACCATAACACATATGCTTCACCGTAATACAAATGTTGTCTTGCTTCACCATAAGTTAAAACAATATCCATCAACTCCGAGTTGCCATTTTTGACACTAATTACTAAAAAACTATTGTAAACACTATTGCAACGACTATTATAAAATCGGATTTCAGTATTCGGAGTCGAATGACGCTAGAGACTACAGTTGTCCAGCTATGTAATGGATTTTACAATTTTTTTTTACAATATTGGCTCCATTTCTTATGCCGCATCTATTCCCAAATTTTTTTGGATAAGTTGTGAATCATTCTGTTTAAAATATATGTATAAAATTGTGCTATAAACATAATATGTCAGACAAAGACTTGATTCCCTGGAAACTAATAATAATCTCTTTGAAATACATTAAGCTTATGGCACACTCTATTGGACTACCAGAGATGGCACATAAAATGTTCGATCCAAGTATGAAAACCTTAAATTATCAAGCACACTAATCGTATACATATACAGTGATTATGGTAGATACAATGATTTGACTAAGTAATTTGTAATAAAAATATTCATTAGGAAAGTTGAGACTATAAAAATTTTATTCGGTTTGATATGAAATTTACACAATCTACAGAAAGGAAAGCAGATTCTAAACCCTGGATAATTGAAAATGTTAATTTATCTGCTGATCTTCACAAAGTTCATTTACAAATTTTACGCAATGCAGTTCCTCAATTTAATTCTTTAAAAATGTACCTCCTTCTTTTCTTATTTTTTTTTTTAAGGAAGTTATACAGACATGGTATATAAAATTGTTGTAATAAAATAAACTCTTCTTCAGAAATCGCAATCTATACTAATTTCTAAATAATTTCTACATTAATTTTAAACTTTACTGTAAAGAAACCATTTATGAAAAATGGTACAGACTTTTACCTTACTAGCTACATTTTATGTCAAAAAAGTTATATTTGTTACTATGTCAAAAAAAATATATTTGAGTGAATCAATTTTTCACTAATTTTTACCCTTTTGTGGGTACTACCGATTCCAGATGGGCATTTGGAGCTTCGTGGCTATGAAAACTTTTGATCAGTGATAGAAAAGGGACAACATATCAGTTTTTCAGGAAATTTCACGGAAAGAGCAATTTCCATAAGGTGTGTGCGGGGTACTTTACTTATAATATCCTCATAGTTCTTTTTCTATCGCCATCACTGATAATTTGTTTAAGCGGTATTGTGTCATCGTATTTCTTAAGTATTAATGCCCTTAAGACGCGAACAGTTCCTTTCTACCGAGACACTTGTTGCAGGAATTGTTAAAACTAGGCAAAAGAATTTGTATGTTTCCGAAAATACCATTTTAAATTCCTTGTAGAATATTTCTACCGTTTTTTGAACTTCCAAATTATAATGGCGTCCACGTACCACTTCCGGTTATACCGGATGTCGCCATCAACTTGCTTATTTTAAATGGAACACCCTATATATTATTGCAATTTTGGATTCTACGTGTTATTTTAGGTGGACTTTTATGAAGTTTCCCTATTCCTAAAATTAACCGTTTTAGCGATATTTAATTTTTTTCAAAAAATGGAGAGAAACAGTAACTAGCTTCAAACTCTGTGTATTTTAGTGTAAGATAAAGCAACAATATTTATAGGGTGGATAGTTAGACCCCTAAGCTTCCCATCCATACTTTCAAAGTGGCTTACAGGGTGCTAAAAATTTAATGCCGAGTTTAGTTAACTTCAATCCTTCATAAGTCGTTTTTTTTTAATGGAACACCCTGTATGTTTTTCTATATTCTGGTACACAATTTTATTCTCTTTCGAACGGTATCAGAGTTCCCTATACCTATCTCTTCTAGTTTTTAAGTTATCTACTAGTTTTTGTGTAACCTAAAATCATGTAGTTTCTTGCGAGGATAACTGTGGAATTTTTAGCAAAACTTCAAAACAAACAACAAAACTGTCACCAGCGTTCCATAAATTGCCAGCAGCTGAAATAGCAAAAGCGGTGACAACTGCTTAGCTGTTAAAGGGAGTCATATTGAACACTTATGAAGTCATTTTTTATCTTAGTGCATTATTATTATCAACATACATAATTAAAATTGTGTATTACTATATATGAAGTTGATTTTTTAGAATTCTTCTTAACTTTATTCTGCTCATTGGTGGAAAATTGGGATATGTCTCATTAAAAACTGTAAATGTTCTGCTTAAAATCCCATTGCAACAACTGTGAATAAATAATAATTAATAACTGGTGACAGTTTAGTTGTTTTTCAAAATTCAAATCGAAGTAGTCTCTGAAATAATTCTAATGGGTAGTCACCGTGAAACACCCTGTAAAATATAATACCTCTTATGTTAAATTTAGTGTTACCTTGTTTTGTTGTAAGGATGTTTATTTACTTAGTTTAAGTTAATACCTGCCGTGTTCTTGTCCCGACGAAACGGACCCCAGGTTCCCGCGTAACCACTTTATTTAAACCGCCTCACGTGGAGGGGGAACCACAGCGCATTTATAGGCAAGTGTGACGCTCTTACAAGCTAGGAAATTGTTGCCTCACGGGGGGGGGGGGGGAGTAACAGTATATGCCGTGCCAATGAAAACGGCGAGATGTTGAAACAATTATTTTATTATGTTGCTTTGATTTTAACTGGAAATTAGTTTATCTGTTTATTCAGGTTAATAGTAGAATAGCAAGCAGAATTAAAATATACGATGTGAGAACCAAATTTTACAGTGAGGATCGGCTTCAGTTGCTTGTATGTAACTTCATAAATATCTTGTACAAATAATTAGTATTCTGAAGATTACGTATATCAAAATTATTTTGTGGAAGGAACAAATTCATGTGTGTACAGTTGTTGTGTACGAAAACGAGACAATGAGCCGGCGAAATAGCGTCCCTCGTAAAATATCAAATTCATAATATTTATGAACCTGTCACTGGTTGCATTAAAATGATTAGTGACACGTTTATAAAGTTGGTTTCTCCAAATAAAAGACGGGCCGGTTAGCTGCGCTAGCTGCTATATCATTTATCCTGCATCTGAATCCCGCACGAACAAAGGTGTCTGTCGGAATCCGAGTGACGTGACATGCCCGTAGCGGTCACGTCGCGTCAGCGGCCCGCCAGCGGATTAGACTGTCCGTTCAGTCGTCGAGGGACGCCTCCAATCCGTCCACTTAGGCCGGGGGCAGGGCCGGTTCTGGAAAAAGGCACTGGCGGCAAGAAATATTAGTAGTAGCAGTAGTGTTTTTTTATTTCAAATGCTAAATTGTGCTTTATACAACTTAAATCAACAGAACAAGCAGCAAATAAACTACATAATTTTTTTTTGGTTATTTTTAATTTTCATCTGCATTTGATTTAACATGAGCTTTAATCGTACAATTCCAGAAATTTATATTCTTGGAACAGAACTTTTGTCAAGTAACAAATGTAGAATTGCAAGCATTTTCTATTTCATTACTGAGTATTTTTTTCGATACTTCAACCTTTCGTTACCGAATCCTCTATATAAGTGTCGGCCACTGAAGATGGCTTCCATCCCCCTTTACGCTTGACAGGTCGGCAACAGAATTTGCCAGAAACATGGCTGTAAACCGACAGAAACAATGGTCGGTATTGAATGCGATAACTTCAGAAAATCGGCAATTTCTTGAAAACGTTAAACAAACTATTTATTCGTATACATTGGATGGTACATTTTTTTCTGTCATTAGCTTATAAAGAACTTCTGGTGAGCCATGTTTCTAGGAGGCAAATTGTCATATACAGGGTCGGAAAGTCACCATGATTCATCGGCCGTTACCTGAGAGCGATAAAGAAAATCATAGAAATCCGTGCGATAGATAAAGATGGCTATAATGAAGGCGTCTAATAGTCACCGCCCATTTCGCCCTTCCACAAATAAGATCTACTTCTTATTTGTGGAAGGGCGAAATGGGCGGTGACTATTAGACGCCTTCATTATAGCCATCTTTCTCTATCGCACGGATTTCTATGACTTACTTTATCGCTTTCACGTAATGGCCGATGAACCATGGGGACTTTCCGATCCTGTATTATGACAATACCCAAAACACTCACTTTTGTGTAACGATTATGACTGATTTACGATCATCAATATTAGAACAGCTTGTATAATTCACTGGATCGACAACAAACCCATTATAATAAAATCTAAATCACTAAAATTTTGAAGAAGATATTTGAAACAATTTCACCTTCATAAATAGATTGGAACATCTTTTAAATATCGTATGACATCATCCGGTTCGAAGACTTTCGAGTTTTTAAGGATTGTAACAATCAGTTAATTTTAGTGCAATGTTTTCAATTTTAATGTAATCATTTTGCTGTATCTGATATGATGGAGCGAACTCATCAGAAGTATTTCTTTAAACTACCACAATTTTCATTTATC